GGGGACCCCTCTCTAGCAGGTGCGACCCCCCCAGCAGGTGCGGGCCCCCCGTGGCTTCTCGTTGTCCCTGGACACACAGCCGTGGTCACCTCCGCCTCTGGTGCCCTGTGGACCCAGCTGACATCCCCGGGGACAAGGCGAACCCAACAAAGGCATTGCATTAGCTTTGATTTTTATAAAACGGTCAGGAATCGCTGTATTAAAAAAACTTCAGGAAGAACATGAGCAAGAACAGGTTCATCTTAACGCAGTCGAGAGGAGTTGAAATTTTATAGGTTTCTAACATTAACACATTTAAGGACGGTTATTACGTTTCTTGCAGAATCTTCTGCATTAAGCTGGTGGAGTTTGAGAGACATCGAGTTTCATTCTAAAGCCCATTTCGTGGCGGCGGCGTTCCGTGAATGCTCCTAATAAAACCAGGTTTCACGGCGCAGAGGCAGCGTAGCGCTGTCAGCACGGTGTGGCCCTGGGGAGTGCTGCTCCCGGGAGCCGGGTGGTATTTACTTGGACGTTTCCTGTAGCTTCCAGTCCTGCTGGCAGTCACTGTGCTGGTCGTGAGGGAAGGGAGCCTGCACTAGTGTTTTGATTTTTTCCCCCCTGAGTTAGATCTGCATTCAGATCCCCAGCTTCCTCTCTTCCTTTGGCCGGGGACCGTAAAATACCGGGAGAGCCTGTCCCAGAGGTCACGTGCACACTGTGCTGGGCGTAACAAAGTGGTCCGGGGGGACCCCGCCTGCCAATCAGTGCGCCCTTCGCCCACTGAAGGGCACACTGTCTTCACTCTCCCACCAGAGGTCAGTGTGTCCGACCTTTGAACTTCGGGCACATGGGACATGCAGTATGCAGTCTTTCCCTCGTTCACCATCATGTTTAGGAGGTTCGTCCGCATTGCTCATGTTCATTGCTGCATAGTATTCCACTGCAGGAAGAGACCACGCCTTCCCCCTTCTGGTGGTGGACATTGGTTTTGACCCCACAATCTGACCGTTAGAAATATGCTCTGATATGTCATATGTGTGCTCCCCTGCTGAGTCACGGGGAATTTGTGTCTTTAGTTTAGTAGGTAATGTTAAGGAGACACCCGAAGTGGGGTGCCAAGCTGTACTCCAAATGGTATGTGAGAATTCCGCCTCCTTCCCTACGCTTGGTCCTTTTAATTTCAGCCCTCCTGGTGGGCTTAGTGCTGCTGAATTGTAATTCACAACTGTCTGCGAAGGAGTGGCGTTTAACGCCTTGTTGTACATTTATTGGCCATTTGGCCATTTTCTCTTTTTAATCTTTGTGAAGGTTGAAGGCTGTGTGTGTTCAGTCTCTTGCCATTTTTCTACTGGCTTTTTTTGTTTGAAGGAGTTTTTAATCTATTCTAAATATAAGCTTTTAAGTAGCATTTTCTAGAGTTTTATGTAAATGGAATCAGTATTTACTTTTTTTGTCTGGCTTCTTTCATTCTGAGTAATTATTTTGAGACGTATCCATATTGTTGCATGTATCAGTAGTTCATTGTTCTTACCACTGAGGAATATTCCATTGTACGAATGGAATATTTGTTTATTTTCCTGTTGGAGGACAGGGGAATTCAGTAATAAGTGGTGAGCAAAGGGCCTAACCTGGTCACCATGCTGCTGTCTGTGTGGATTCAAAGACCTTAACCAACTGGTGACCACGCTGGTCAGGCTCATTCTAACCTAAGCATCTGGTGACCACGCTGGTTAAAGAAAAACAAAATGAAAACGTGTTGAATGTGTTAAAGCTTGTTCTTCCCCAGTTCACAAACCTAGTCACACCGCTGTCCCCTCCCTGGTCACACCACTGTCCCCTCCCTGGTCACATCGCTGTCCCCTCCCTGGTCACACTGCTGTCACCTGGGTCACAGCTGTCCCCTCCCTGGTCACACTGCTGTCACCTGGGTCACAGCTGTCCCCTCCCTGATCACACTGCTGTCCCCTCCCTGGTGACACCGCTGTCCCCTCCCTGGTCACACTGCTGTCACTTGGGTCACAGCTGTCCCCTCCCTGATCACACAGCTGTCCCCTCCCTGGTCACACCGCTGTCCCCTCCCTGATCACACCGCTGTCACCTGGGTCACAGCTGTCACCTGGGTCACAGCTGTCCCCTCCCTGATCACACAGCTGTCCCCTCCCTGGTCACACAGCTGTCCCCTCCCTGGCATGCGGTGGGTGCAGCATGCACTGTTCAGTCACATGCAGTGGGTAAGGGGGGGTGAGGGCGCTGCCCTTTCCTGCTGCCTGTTGTTTGTGATACTGAGCTACAGTGCTGTGCTGAGCTCGCGAGATTCGTTTAGTAGTACATAGGGTTTTAATAAATGAATATGCAAAGTCAATATATTTGAAAAATTTAATCCATTTTTTTTAGGTTTGAGGTTACATTGGTATGTTATTTTGTTTGTTATCTCTAATCAATGATGTTTTTGTGAATTTTTAAGCTTCTGATCTTAAGAGGACACCATCAGCCAATTACTGCTGTGGCGTTTGGCAACACGGAGCACCCGCTTGTGGTCTGCTCTGCCTCACAAGACCACGTGCTCATGTGGAGGCTGGACGAGTGCAGAGAGAAGGTGCTTCACGGTAGGTGCAGCCCTAAAACCACTTAACGCTGTCCCGGAGCAACTTCCCCTTAGATAGCCCGGTGCATACGGGGCTGGTCCTGTGTGACCCTGGGACCTTGAAGGCAGGTGCGGAGCTGGGGGAACACGGCCGAGCGAGAAGCCGCTTCCCGAACCCAGTGCGTTTAACCTTCACATTTTCTTGCGTTGGAATCTGTGGCTTCAGTGGCACTCTGAAACGTGGAGGGAGTTGAAATATTCTTTCCCTCTGGAGCTGGGGCAAGTTCACAGCTTAGAGTGGAAACTCACAGGCCCGTAGTGCTCACCAGCATGCGGGGCAGTGGAGAGCGAGGCGTAGACAGATCATGGCGACATGCTCACGGGGAGCCGTCCCGGCGGTGGCAGGTGGGAGGGTGGCAGTGCTGGGAGCGCCTGTGAGGCAGAGGGTCTGGGGGCCGGCCTGGGCGTACGAGCTTGGCCTCTCTGAGGAGCTGAGACCGAGCCTGCGTGCTGAGGGCGGTGTGTCCGGGTTTTATCAGATGTGGGTGAAACGTCAGTGAGGACCACAGTATGGAGCTACACTCAGAAGTTACAGAATTCCTCCTAAAATCAACTGATTTTAGGCAGCAGCCTCTATAATGGTATATACTCCACCTTCTTTATAGTACGGTCACTGCAATATCAGTGTGCCACCACTGACATCTACACACGTGCACGTGCATGGCAGCACACACATACTCATGTAAACACACATGCATGCAAAACAAACACACATGCACCCAACAGTACACAAACATACATGTACACATTACACAATATAGCACACACACATGTAAACACACACACAAACACACATGCACATAATACAGTACACACACTACATGATATAGTACACACTCACACATGTAACTACACAAACACACATGCACACACATAGCACCCACCCGCAGTACATGCACACACGTATACATTATGTACACACGTGCACACCACATACACACATACTCACACATGTAATTATGTGTGCACATACATACAAATCCAAACACACATGCACGCACATAGCGCCAATACACACACCACGTGCATGCCTACATACAATGTACATACATGCACACATTCATTATGTACACACATTATACAGTATTGATATTCACTATGTACATACAGTACATAGCTAATATATACTACATAAGCATGTACATATGTATACTGCAATACACACATGCATAATACATTCATACACATTCACATGCATACACATATGGTATATGTGTGCATGCATTTATAGCACACAGATACACAAACACATCTAGTACGCACATGCACAGCATACGTGCACACAGGGACATGCGTGCACAGTACATGTGTTTAGTAGATTCATACACATACATGTGGTATGTGCATGCATATAGTTATAGCACACACATATACAAGCACATCTTATACACACGCACAGTATATATGTACATACAGGCACACACACATACTACACACAGGGTACACATGCATGTAGGGCACACCTACAGGCACATGTGTGTATGGTATGTACATGTGCTGCGTATAGTGAGCCACCTGTTAGGAATCTGCTCCCTCCTGTGGTCTTGGTAAACAGGCAGTCTCATTGTTGGAGGGGCCGGACTCCCCAAGTTTGTCTGTAAGCAGAGCCCCACGTGGATCTGGGATGTGGAGATCTGCTCCCAGGACGCAGGCACCGGGCTCAGGGGCGTCCCGTGTCCCACCCCGCATTCTCCCCTTCACGGGGCTGCACGGGCGGGTTCCCACACGCTATTGGCAGTTCTGGGCAATTCCACGTATTTCCAGAGGAATTTTTATATTCAGCGTGTCTAATTCTCTCAGAGAGCCAGTCGTCTGACAGCTCAGTCACCCCGCGAGCGTGTCCCTGCCCGGGAGCCGACTCCCGGGGACACGCAGTCCTGCCTCTGATGACCAGCTAGCGGTTGCATCCCCCCCACCCCCCTCTAGGGACAGACCCGCGCGGGCTCGTCCTGGGCACCCGCCCGGGAGAGGTGCGGTGCGTGAAGTTCAGCCCGGACGACCAGATGGCTGCGGTGTGCGCTGGCAACAGGGTCCTCGTGCTGGACGTGCAGGTGAGAGGCGGCTGTGGGCAGCGGCCCTAATTGGGCGAGTTTCTGTACACACGTGAGGGGAGTAAGTGAGCACGCATCTGTGTCTTGCAATGGAGGCCCCTGGAGCCAGATGCTGCTGTCTCATGTGGATGGAGGCCTCGCCGTGACGCCCGGGGACCAGGGCACAGACATGCTCCGGAACACAGAACACGTGCACTTCCCGGTCTTCTCTGTCAGAGAGCCTCACAGTGTGGGCCTTTCCCGCCTCTCTCTTACCAACACTTGCTTCCCCTTGAGAAGTGGACTTGCTCGTTGATTCTTCATGGGGCTTGGCTGACGTGGACGTGCTGCCACCCACAGGTTCTGTGATCATTGAGTCTCATGTTGGACCAGGAACGGCTTTTGGGCCCGTGTCACACAGCGGGTGGGGCCCTGTTCCCTCGGACCCGTGGTCGCATGGGACGCGCTGTGGGGGCGCGCTGTGGTGTCACGGGCACAGTGATTGAGCACGCTGTTGGCCCCCCGAGAGTCCCTTGCCGTGTCCACGTTAAAACCGTAGGGCAGGCAGGACAGAGGCGGGATGTCGTGTTGGTGATGGTGGCGGGACCTGCTGTGTGCGGGCGGTGGGGGCACACCTGCCTTTGGACACGTCTCGGCTCACTGGTTCTACGCTGGCGGCTCACCCTGGGGAAGGGCAGTGTCAGCGGTGACCTCACAGACGGAGGCGGGAAGTGTCCTGGGACGGGGCTGGGGCTGTGAACACATCCTGTGGGAAGGGCCTGCTGTGGGTCGGCCTTGGTGGTGTTTGTGGCCACCGGCTCCTGCGGCCCCGGACGCTGTGCTCAGCTGTCCGGGTGTCAGCTCCGTGCACGGAAGAGCGAGTTCTGCAGGGTGTATTTTAACGGAAACTCTTCTGCGAGACACAGGCGCCTTCTTAGCTGTCATTGCTGGGACATCCAGTGACTGGTCTCACTGTGCAACCCGCAGAGCCGGACCGCGCACGCCGAGCTAGAGGGGCACCAGGGCCCCGTGACCGCAGCCGAGTTCTGTGCATGGCAAGCGCATGTGGTCGTCTCGGGGTCTGAGGACAGAAGCTTCAAGGTAGGGACGGCCCCGCCCGCAGACAGACAGCAGAGGCAGGGCTGTGGCGTCTGCGCGATAGTTGCCCTCCTGACCTTCCGTCACCGTTTCAGCCAGGCCACGGCCGGTGTGGGAGCCGATGGCGCCCACAGTGCCCCTTCTGTCCCGAATTCCCACGTGGGCTCGAGGCATCGAGTCAGCTGGGTGCCTCCTCGGATCCAGGCCTCGGGGAGAAAACTGATTTCTCTCTGCGGCGCCAACGACGGCCCTGGAGCAGCAGAACCGTCGTCCGGTGTCAGGACTCAATCAGAACAAAACCGGGCTCAAGAAGAAAATAAATTAAAATGCAAGCTCAGTCCCCATCACAGTCCACATCAGCCCGTGTCATGATGGCTGGTGACCGAGTGAGGACAGTCCCCGTGAGGGAGAGAGAGGAGAGCACTGACCCCACCTGCACGGAGGGACAGAGAGACGGCCTCACCTTCCCGGTCCCCGGGGACGGTGCCAGGTGCAGCCGGGAGGGTGTCCCCCCAGCTCCCGGCGCCCTCTGCTGCCCACAGCGGTGCCCGCGTGCTGTGCCCCCCGCCCGCTCCTCTCTGGAATAATGGAGACTGGGCCTGCGGTTCCATAGCCGCACGGGCCTAGTGGAATGAAAGGAGCTGGGTGTTGGTGAGCACGTGCCACTCTCCCCGCGAGCGTGCAGAGCAGGTGGACACCCACTTCACCTCTGGCCCGTAAGGCCCGCGTGTGGGTGCCGCCCGGCCTCGCGGCTGGGCTGGTGCTGGGTGTCTGCCTCGCGCCTGGGCCGGTCTGGAAACGCGGTGTTTCCTAGGAGTCCACGTCTCACTGTCGCTGTCTGCTCTCAGGAAAGCACTTGCAGGGTAGCTTGTAGCTGCCTAGAGCAGTGGTCGGCAAACTGTCCCCTTGAGTGTGGCTCTTCCACAAAATACCACGTGCGGGCGCGCACGTACAGTGCGATTGAAACTTCGTGGCCACACTCAAGGGGCCAAAGAGTCGCATGTGGCTCGTGAGCCGCAGTTTGCCAACCACTGGCCTAGAGTGTTAGCTGAAGGGCTAGCAGCAGCGACAGAGCCGCCCTCCTGACGAGCTGTGTCTGCCCGCAGGTGTGGGACTGTCGCACGGGGGCCTTGATGCACAGCTCGGCGGTGCTGACAGGTAACTGGCCCTTATGTTCGTTCGTTCTGCCCGTGGCCACGCGTCTGCGCTCTCCTGGGGCAGGTGTGGTCGGCACACGGAGCGCCAGTCGGGGTCAGTATCACCCCTCTAGCTGCCTCACTCCCACCGACTGTCTTCATTTTAGCTTTAAAGTCTGAGCGTGGCTGGGAGCTGTGGAAGGTAGAGGTGTGGGGAGGCGTGGCCACGGCGCTGTCCCACAGAGCAGGGCCCGGAGCTGCGTGTTTGCGGGACGCGTGCCCGGTGGGCCCAGGCCTGTGGCCGGGTCGCCACACTCTCTCCTCAGTCCGTCCCCTTGGTCATGGCTGACACCGTCCACATGGCACCGGCGGTGGGGCAGGGTGCCGGCATGGGTCTCCATGGGGCCTGTGAGATGCGGGGCCGGGCGACCTCCATGCAGGGCCCCAGCGCCTCCTGGGAGTGGTTTCCTGGTCCCGCTAGGCCCAGCGCTTCTCTCCTGGGAAGGGAGCAGGGAAGCCGTGTGAGGGAAGCTGGTGTGGCCCTGACTCCGCGTCCCCCGAGGGCCATGGTCTGCGGGACGCCTGCACTAGTGTGAGCCAGGTGTGCAGCTGCCAGCAGGACTGGAAGCTTCAGTCAGTTCCAGCTGCTCTGAAATAATTTCTGCACAGAAAGTAGAAACAGCAAGTACAGCTGTGAACTCTCCTGAGCGCCGGCCGGCAGGTGACTGCGTCTCTGCCCACGTCACTCGAGCCCCCGCTGAAACCACTCCCAGGAGGCGCTGGGGCCCTGCATGGAGGTCGCCCGGCCCCGCATCTCACAGGCCCCATGGAGACCCACGCCGGCACCCTGCCCCACAGGCCTGTACCAGTGCCTTTGAGGGTAATGGCTCGTCTCTTCCTCTCACCAGCCTCCCCGCTCCTGAGCCTCTTCATCGATGGGGAGAGCCAGCAGCTGGTGGCCGGGGGCGCCGAGGGCCAGGTGAGGGCAGGGGTCGGGGCCTCCTGGAGCTGCACACCTGGCTCACCC